TCGTGCATTCTCTTTCTCTCGCAGCTAGCAGTGTTCATCCACCTGACGTTTCTGATTGTGGAACATTCTACTTCATTCATCTCTTGGAACACCGCCGATTCAAAATTTCTTCCCTGGTCAGAGTGCAGCTCTATAGGTACACCGTATCTCGCAACCCAATTATAGGTAAATACCTCCACTACTGTTTTAGCTTCCTGGTTTGGAATCGGGTATACCTCCGGCCATTTGCTAAAGTAGTCCATAACCACAAGGATATATTTGTTTCACTGTGCGCTCATAGGAAATGGACCGGCTACATCCATGGCAATCCGCTCGAACGGTGCATCTGAGTTATACTGCTTCATCTGGCCATGACTTCTGGATTTCGGCCCTTTAGCTGCAATACACTCTGCGTAGTTAGCAATCCACTCTACTACCGATTGCCGACAACCAACCCAATAGAACCTCTGCTTGATGTTTTCCAGGGTTTTCGTGATTCCCCAGTGCCCTCCACTAGGACCATTAAGGAATTCCTTGAGTACATCCGGAATTCTTACCCTTGGAACAACTACTAGGTTGCGGGAGCACTGGCCATCTTCGCTTTCCCATACCCTATGCAAACAGCCACATATTAATTTTAAGCTGTTCCATTGGGCCCAGTACGCCTTTGCGATGGGGCTTTCTGCTGCCATTTGCTCCTTAGTTGGCCTTCTGTCTACCTCCCGTCCAGTCTGGATCTTCCTGCTGACACTTTCGAAGCTGTTCTTCCTTCCACTCTTCCGCTGGTGTTATTGTCGTTAGCCGGACGTCTATAATGTCCCCTTGCCCTCAGCTTTTGAGCAGTGTTTACATTCCAGGCTACATGGTCGACGGGACATGGCATCAGCATTTCCGTGGACACTTCCTTTGCGGTGCTCAATAGCGAAGACATAACTTTGCAGTCTCTCAATCCACCGAGCTAGCTGTCCTTCTGGATTCTTAAACTGTAGTAGCCATTTCAGCGCTGCATGGTCCGTTTGAACTCGGAAACGTTGCCCATAGGGGTACTTGTGGAAATATTTGACGCACTCCACCAACGCTAGTAGTTCTCTCCGAGTTAGGCAACTACCTTCTCCTGCCCATCAATTACCTGCGACAGTATGCCTCCTATGGCATAACCACTAGCATCCGTATCCAAAATAAACGTTGCACCTTGAACGGGATACGCCAACATAGGTGCAGTACATAGCCGTTTCTTCAGAGTTTAGAAAGTCTCCTCCTGCTCCTTGTTCCAGTAGAAGGCTCTAATTTTCCTAGTGAGCTCGTGGAGGATATTAGCAACGCTGGCGAAATTCGGAACAAATCGGCGGTAGTAGGTGCATAGCCCAAGAAAACTTCGTAGTTCGTGCAGGTTCCTAGGTCTTGGCCAATCCTTTTCTGCTTCTATCTTTTCCTTCGCAGTACAGACGCCCTCCGTTGTCACCTTGTGCCCTAAGTAGTTCACCTTCTTTTTGAACAGTGGGCACTTTTTAGCGCTTAGCTTCAGACCAGCGCCAGCTATCCTCTGGAAAACTTTCTCCAAATTGTTAAGGTGTTCCTCGAAGCTTCTACCCAATACAATAATGTCGTCTAGATACATCAAGCAGGTTTCCCAATGCAGTCCCTTAAGCACATGGTCCATAAGCGTTTCAAAAGTAGCAGGAGCGCTGCATAATCCAAAGGGCATCACCGTGAATTGCCACAGACGGTCTCCAATGCTGAAAGCTGTGTTCTCCTTGTCCTCGTCACTTACCTTGCATCCCCAGTATTAATGCGATGTTTCACAACATTAGTCCTGCCTGGTTTGGTGCCGTCCTTGTCGAATATTTTGGAGTATCTGCGGAGAAGTTCCTTAGCCTTGTGCTGGTATTTTTCTTCCAACCCTTCCGTCCAAGCATTTATGTCTTCCGCAATGTCATTCTCGCCAATGGAATCGCCTTCAGGCAATTTTTCGCAGTTGAAGATTGCCTCCACCTCTCGACTTTGCCCCAGTACAGTTCCTCTTCGGAGTTTGATTGGTGATTTGAACTCATTGAGTACTCGAACTGGGATGCGTCCATCTCTTTGCGTCTTAGCCAGGGTTTTACCAATAAGTACGTCCGGTGTAGAATTCTGTGTTGCTTCAACAACCCACAACTTATTTGTCCCACAATCTCCATCAATCTTCGCCCAAACAACTGCTTCTGACTTCGGTGGAATCTGTTCACGTTCCTCTAGGATCACTCGGTTGTTGCTGTACGGGCCGTCATACCCAAACCTCAGGGGCACTTCCATGTTGTTATACGTCATAGTCCTGATCTTCATGTTGATCTGCATACCTTGATCAAGTAAGAAGTCTATTCCAATGATGACTTCATCCACGATCTTCCGCGACTATGAACTTGTGCAACACCGTCACATTCCCTATTGCGACTTTGCATGTTACCTCTCCTACAACTTGGGTGATGTCACCAGTTTCTGTCCTCAACGTTGCTTCAGGTAATGACCTCACTTTTTAAGTGACCAAATCAGATCGAATGATGGAATGTGATCGCCCGTATCCATAGTTAGTACTCGCTCATGTTCGTCCACATATCCACCAACAGTAACGTTGCTCGCTTTTCTGCCAATTTGCCAGACGGAGATTATGGGGCATTCAATTGCGGGACCCACCGCGCGCTCCTTGCTGCTGGCTCGTTTTAGTTTAACGACTGATTGGAGTTGGATTCGTCTCCTTCAGCCCTGCGTTTGCGTCCTGCTCAATTGTTGAGCGCACTGGAACTTGCGCTTAAATCACGGGCGAAGTGGCCTGGCTTCCAAATTTAAAACATTTGCCAGAGCCATGCTTTTTCTCGCCCAGCAGTTGGATTAGCTTCTTCAGCATTTCCTTTGTCTCGTCCGGTGTCTCCATTTCCACTCGATGGGCTTTGTAGGCTGGTCTACTTAGGAGTGCTGCCGTTTCACGTGTCTGAGCTTACGAGACAGTTTCCACAAATGTGTGCTTTGGATTCGCGTACGTCTCTCGCTTGGTATACACGTCCCGCATTCCGTTGATAAACCTCTGGATTTTTACCCTTTCGAGGTGCTCACCAGATGCATCTCCAATAGCCAAGTGAGCCAACCTTTCGATCTCTGAGGCGAATTCTTGTAGAGCCTCGTTGGCTTTTTAGCAGCGGTTTTCCAGCTCCATCTGGTAAATCTGTCTCCTGTGCTCGCTACCGTAACGTCTCTCCACGGCACTCATCAACGCATCGTAACTGTTCCTTTCACAGTCGGGAATGGTCTGCAAGATTTCTGCTGCAGGTCCTTTTAATGCAACGAATAGTGCAGCGGATTTATCCTCCATGCTCCAATGATTTGCTGCAGCCGTTTTTTCGAACTAGAGCTTAAAGTCCTGGAAAGGAATCCTGCCGTCAAAGGATGTAGTCTTTACCTTGGGAGCGTTCGTCGAAGTAGCTGGACGATTCAACTGCAAGTCTCGGAGTCGACCTTCCAACTCGCCCATCTTAGCCTCGACTTTGTCCTGTCTCTCTTCGATTTTTTTCTGTATTTGCGCAATCTTTGCATCCTGTGCTTCCAGTTGGGATGACATCTGCGCTGATACCGCTGATGATATACGTGTCACCAGCGCTTGTATCTGCGATGAAACATCTGACGACAACTGCGACCTTTGTGCTTCAAGCTGTGCTTCCAGCTGCGATGACATGCGTGTTTCCTGCACTTGCAGCTGGGATGAAATCTGTGACATGGCAGCTATTAAAGTGTTCATGTCCATAGCTGTTGACGACGAAGGAGCCTTTTGCTGTTCTTCAACCTTCCCGGATGTCTGATGCACATCCTTCGACGAACATGCAGCCTCGTCCTTCTGTTCGTCTTTTGCGGATGTATCGTCGTGTTTTCCCTGGAAGTCGTATTTGTCCATGTCGATGCCTTCTGCTTCCATAGCCTCTCGCAGCCGCGATAGTAACTCCACTTTTCTTCCGGAGGATGCTAAATTTCGCTTCTCCAACTCCTGCTTGAGTTCCTCAATTTTTAAATCCTGAATTTTTGCCATTTTCAGAAGTTTCTCCTCTGGGATTTATTTAACAATCCCACTTCTGACACCAATTGTTACGTTTATCCTCGAAACCTTGACCGGCCGTCTTCACGTGCTGGAAAATCTCGCATGCGTCGTCACGCCGCACGTGTAGACCGTAAATAGTACGAAGCATCCCAGTAAGAACACTATCTGTTAACTAATGCGTTATATACGCTTAGTACTACAAAAAGTTTGTGTGAAAAATTTAAAAACTTTCCATCATTTTACTAGGGCTCCTGGAGAAACCTCACGCATTCAGTGCTGTGCATGTGAGCATTTTTCCCTTTCTTGCGCACCACTTTTTACTATGGTATTTTCGTATTGCTATCTCATTCCAATCTGCTATAGCAAAGCGATATAAAACATGTTATTTACGGGAAGAAATTCCGTATTAGTATGGCATAATAATAACGTGTAAATAACATGTTTTATCTATTATACTGAAAAGCTATTATATTGCATAAATAAAAACACGGTTAAATATTTTAAAATAGATTTAAATAGTTTAATTAATTGAAGTTCAAAGGCTTTGTTAAACATTTAAACTTATAATTGAATTGTGTTATAAATTATTGGATGAAAATGAAATTTTGGGTTTATATCCCAACAAGCAAACTAAACTAAAAAGTATTATTTTTGCAAGTTTACTAAAATAAACATAAAGCTTAAGCAGCAATCACCTAATGTAAGATTTTCTAAGCGATTAAACTCTTTAAGCGATATTGAATCGCTTACAAAATCGCCTCACGTAAATGCTGCTTTACAAAACGATTATTCTTGGTTTTTAAAACGCATAAAAAAAGCGTAATATAATCGAAACGGCACCTTCTTTATAAGCGCGTGAATATAAATTTATAATAGATTAAATAAAAGTATTTCTTCTGGCTTTTATCGTAAACATTTGCAGCTTAGTTTTAAGGTTTAGTGATTTATAAATATACCCCCAAACACTTATAATAGCTTCATTTGAAAAACTTAAAATAAACTTAATACTAAAAACGCTGTTAATATAGCAAGCTTGCTTTAAGATACTTTTAAAAATACAGAAATGCTTGTTGGGATGCTATACATAATATGTATATGCACTTATATCTACATACATACATTCTATATTTACATAAAGACTGGGATACTTAAGAATAAGTTTTAGAAATAGAATGCATAACATATTTGCGGCACCGCTGGAAAGTCTTTACCTATAGTGAAAAGAATAATTAATAAAACAATGACTTACATTTACTCACATTTTACTCACTTTTAAATTAATTAAATATTGGCCTTGCTTCCTTGCAGCACCTTCCTTTGCCGAAATCTGTTATGGCTGAGCTCCACGCTTTTCCTCAAGTTTTTCTCAAAATTAAGGCGCCCTTCTGATTTAAATACTTCTGTATAGAATTATTGAAACAGAATGGATTTTAATAAATATTTGATTGAATAAAATAACGACATTAATTCCAAGATTGTACGGATACTGATTATGCTAAATTTAAATAAGTCTAACTTAAATTAATCAAATTCAAAACAAAATCAATTAGGTCGAATTGTGTTAAAAACAGACCTAAATTGAATAGCGGCACAATCCTATATTTAGCAAAATAACTAACAAAACTACTGGATATTTCATTAGTATTACCAAATAATAAATCGTTTATCAGCGTTAATTTATTCAGGGCTTTTTTGTTTTTTCCTTCCGTCGTAGTTAAAAACGATAAGAAGGTCGTCCGTCAAAAGTTTTTTGAAAACAGCATCAACGGATCCTTTCGTTCCTTTAAGCTTAAATAATTAAATTTTCTGTGAAGTATACAATATTAAATTTATGTAAGTACTTTAAAATTTTTGTAGCTAAATAATTTTACCATAGCTTCCACATATTTTGCATTTTTTAAATTTTCTTCGACATCATGGGCAGCGTCGATGCTAGAAATTGGCAATGTAGCCGCAATTTCTACCTGGAGCTCATCCTCAATCTCCCCTGTCAATCGGCATACTGAGCGATGAACTTTGGATAACATCACCTTGCACTCTCTAATTGTTTGATTTTGAGCCATTATAACACCGTCATCTAGCATCTGTGTAAATAAAAGGACTATTAGTGGAAGCATGAAAGGTTAAGCATGAAAGGTTATTTGTGAGTTATATTGATTTCATAGTAAGCGAGTACTTTATTTTATATTTTTTTTATAGTTTTTTTTTTTTTTAATTTTAACTAGCGCAGGACGAAAATATGAAATTGGGCTCTTTTATATATATTTTATATTATATTATATTATATTATTATATTATTATATATTATATTATCTTTACCTTCCGATGTATGAAACGAGGATTGCGGCCATTGTTGGGATTGCTCATTTGAAACCTCCTCAACCTGGGATTCGTCATCAAAATAAATTATATCTTCCATTTTTCTTGGAAAAAAGTCAGTACTTGAATGAATGAAACATTTTTATTAATAGTGTGTTATCAAAACGCAATAAGTTAAGGAATCATAATGAAATTTTTGATGCTGGTTTTGAACTTTTTTAAAGGTTGGTTTAAGAAAAACTTGACTAACTCAGCCAAAACTTTACCCATTTAGACTTATGTGGTATCATTGGAAAGATATTCTCACCCGTTCTATTTCTTTGCAAATTACCTCATTAACTCATTTTACGAAATATTTTGGTGGAAGTCTTAAAATATAATAGATTTTATAATTCCAACGGAAAATGTACAGATGTATGTACATATATGCATACCGTGAAATTTTAAATAGAAAACTCATGAAAAAGATGATGAAGAATGGGTATTAACAGGAACCTATTTTCATGCGGGATGCAGAAATATTTATAGAGAATTTCAGACTTAGGAGTTTCTACTAAATGGTCGCTAAGTTTGTGAGCTATAAGTATCCCCAAATCAGATGAGGACTCTAATGGTTCTGTAAAGTAGTTTTCAATTTGCTGAAAACTATGTCCGAGCACAACATCTCCACTAGATACGTTTCGCACCGATACAACTTGGAACGGACCGTTTTTTTCGCTGTAACAAAATGAGTCTTTTGTTTTTGCGTTAATATTAAAAGCACCAAGTTTTAAATTCTTTTTCAAAGGAATATTTGCAGTCTCACTTTCTTGAAGTCTTAAGTATAATTGTTGCAAAACTTTATTAGGTTTTTTTACTATTTTCTTTAAATATTGCATGAAATTTTCAAATTTGTATGCTGAGAAGTTTTCTAAAGGGCCATACAGACTCGTACAGTCTGACAAATGCAGCAAGCCATGAATATTGAAACTAACTAAATGCTCTCCATAGATTTCACCAAATAAATTAACAAATTGTTCTAACATTCCTTGGGCAACGTTTTTTTTCGCTTCTGTAACACTTTTCGCATGAAAGCAACCTTATACCCGCGTGTAATAGAAGAAAATGGTAGTATAAATAGTCGTCTATACAACCCTTTAAAACAAATATCCCTGAATATAAAAGAAACTGCTGAATTCGGTCGATTTCCAAAGGGCTATTTCGTCCAAACTTCTACAAATCCTTCCGAATTCCGAAGGAACCAAACGAGAATGAAATTCGATTTTTTCGTTCATTTTAGTTACATTACCCCTTTTTACCAATAAATTCAATAATTTTTTCGTTACTCCAAGGTCAACTAGGTGCATCGGGTTAAGAGGAAATTGTGATACCATACGGAAATTATGGTTTTCCAAAGTATTTGGTTGTTGTCTAAAGGGTAAACTATGATGTCCCACATCAACTCTATTTTTAAATGAAACATCTGTTCTTAGCTCATGAACGTGTTTTGAGAAACTGATTCTCCTTTGTGTAAAACTTCCCACTTGAACACATTTAGGGCAGCCTTTCTTGCTGTTATGTGACAAAGCACTTGTGACGAAGGCTCGGGCTGGAGAGTCGCAGACAAACAAACGCACTTTAAATGTTTTCAAAAGCTTTTTGGAACCGACTTTTATTCCAAATTCTGTCAGGGCACTTGCTTCTTCGCAGAAGTCTTTCATAAAGTCATTGATGTTCCACGGCTTTTCAGTACCGGCGAAACACGCAATGAGAAACGGACTTTCCTGGAGATAACCCACAAGTGAACCTAAAATTGGCCACAGCACTTTTTTTGGAGCTTTTAAAGAGTTTAAGTCCATCGATTCCGACGTCGATTTGGACTTCACTGTCTCTTTCAAGAAAATCACAAGTTTGTTTGTCAAAATATTTTTGAATGCCGAAATAAATGAATTCCCCGCTTGGAATGGATAAAATATCTACTTTTTTCCTATCACTTCCTAAAAGGGTTTTGGCGCAAACGGGTAAGTCGGTATCCCCAACCCTCCTCAGGGTTTGTAATAAGTCACTCACGGTGCTTTGCGAAACGCTATTTCTAATTGCCCACGCCTTAAGCGCGGTAGCTTTCGCGCTTTTATTGGAGCACCCGGCCAAGTCCATAACCTCACTTTCTGGAACAGGACTAACACTTTCGCGTTCATCCCGCGGGCAAGAAACTTCCGCGATTCCTTCGTTATCTATTTTTGTTGCCTCACTACCGTCGTTCCCTACACATGCAAAGTCTCCTAATCTCCTATACTTTTCTGCTCTAATCCGAAATACATTCTTTTCTTTGCTGAGCGCGTTTTGATACCACTTATTATTAATTTCCATAACTTTTACTTGCCTGTTTTCTAGTTGAAGCTGTTTATTGTAGATATTCGCCTTTCGAAGGAGCACAGATTTTATATTGTAGATATTCGCCTTTCGTAGGAGCACAGATTTTATATTTATATAAAATATAATTCCGTTTAAATTTTTTGGCACAATCCGAAGTTTTAGAGCACGAAATTCAGAATGGCGGCTTCACAAACGAATACATAATAGTGATGACAGCAATAATATAAGAAAGAGTGAATACGATATAGATATTGACATTTATGTCAAGCGAGGCATAGCGCTTGCCCCTTTTGGCACACATCGGAAATAGAAAAATTGCGTGTAATAGTATTGGCCGACAGCTGGTGATTATGCATATGTATTAGTGAATGCGTTAGGTCGTTCTAGCTGGGATGCTACCGAGCGGTATGCGAGCTCTCGCTTGCTTTCAACTGTCATCTTTGTTGTCTGACAGCAATGTTTTCATTTCGCGGAATTCTTCAGAGTAAAAAAATCGTTAATTTTGGAGGCAAATACAAATTTATAGGAAGCCATTTTTCATTTAAAAATAGAATACATCTCTTTATGCAGATTTTCTAATTGTCTCAAACTTTTAAGAGCCTGCAAGGCTTGAACCTTCTTGTTTGGCGACATTTTACAAATAAAAAGTATGCTGTCAAATGCCCAGTCAACAAAACTCTATCTCGCTTGCGAGAGAAAAAAAGCTGAACGCAAGGGAGATTTTCAAGCATGTGAAGACGGCCGGTGAGGGGTTTCCCAAATATCCTACGGCTCGTATCGCTGCATTGTTAAATAAATGCTCACGATCATCAAAGTGTAGTACAATTAACTTTATTGTACAACAAACAATTTACCATACTCGCTAATACAGTAAAAACACTTTACAATACTCGTTAAAGCAATTACAACGCTTTACAAAACTTGTTGGCACAATTAAACTTGCTTATTCGCAACTCACTTTACTTGTAGCTTGCTGACTTGTAACTAACCCACGCCGGTGTCTGATGGCGCCCTTATATACCTGCGCTCGCACTCATGGCAACTCTAGAATGCTCTGAAGTTCATGCCGCATTCTCTTTCTCTCGCTGTACGCAGTGTTCATCCACCTGGCGTTTCTGATTGTGGAAGATTCTACTTCATTCCTCGAACATTCTGCCTATTTCTCGTTGTTCGCTTCGCGTTGCTGCAGTATTCGCCAAAATATCATAATAGTAACCATTGCAGAATATTAATCATGGTGGAAATAATTATTATGTGCGCGGCTATTGTTTTGGAGCAAGAAGAAATTATACGGAGACGAAGACTCCTGAGGCAACTCCGACCCAATTGTTTTTTGAACAGTTTTTTTCCCGTTTGCATTTCGGGTGGTCTTCACGAAACTGCAGCTGATCTTGTGTGGTGCGTTCAGATATTCCACGCCTGTTAATACACGAATTCATAATAAAATGAAGTGAACTTCCCTACTATAAAATTACTTACTTTTTCGGCGTTTCATAATCCATTTCGGTGTATTTTATTTAAAAGAAATCCAGTCTGTTGCAGTGGCGCTAAAAAATTAAAATGTAAACAAAGAACAGCTGTTTCACTACGGAGAAACTTTCGCCGCAATTGGCATATAAAACGAGCTTTTCGTTTGTCATTATTTACCTATGACTACAGTTGATTTCACGATAATGACAATTGAACTGTGACAATTGACGGCGGGGACAACACGCTAATAGGGCTGTTAGTACCGACAAAGTTGAGCTGAATGAAACGTTTTTTTGCAAATAACTTTTGGACGGTTTAAAAAAATCCGGTTCCACCTTCGGACTCTTACTACTGGCAATAATACGAGTTTTTGATGCCCTTTTCGATTATTTTGCATAAATTTTCGGTGGGGGCCATGAAGTGCACAATTACCTAAGTTAAGCTTGATATACAGTTCAATGCGAGCGTGAGCGTGAACGTTCGCAAAGGCAAATAATTCCGTATTTCTTATGGGCGCTCACACACATCTGTCAAAACTTGCCGTTCACATGCGAA